TGGGGAATCCTGGGATTCGTGTCTATCTATTCGTGTGTCCCAGGGCCCCTTCACTGGGGGTCGACGTTACGAAGATCATCGCGGCGTCGGGGGTCCGGGGAGAGAGCCGGGGAGTTCCGCGACAGCGGGGGGACCTTCGGTGCACGGCCCCCCAGGTTCTCGTCGTGTGGGGGGCCTTCCTGGCCGGGCGGCGCGACGCCGCGATTTTTCAGCACGGGGTCCCCGGAAGTCCCGACCCTTTCCCCAGGGTTCTGATGCTCCAGCCTACTTTAGCCTTGTTCGCCAGGAAGAATTTTTCGAGCGCCCCCAAAAAGTACCGGAACTCGAGGGCTTTCACGCGTCGGGCCCTGGGAGAGACACTCGCCTGACACTGTTTCGGCACTCTTTTGACACTCCTCCGGGTGCTCGAAATTATTTCTGGGATGTGGTCGTTGAGTAGGATGGGGCCAACATAGTCCCAGGGCTGTTGTCCGATTTCCTCCACGCCGACGTCGCCGATGCGTCGCCGACGTCGCCCATGCATCGCCGATACATCGGCGATGTATTGCCGATGCGGCGCGATCCTTCGACCCCATCTACCTCGACAGCATCTACAGTCGGGGCGCTGAGGAAGGAACCCTTTTCGTTGGGGAGGGGCTCGGTGTTCCTTAGTGGTTTTGCAGTTCGCCTTTGGTTTTGCTTAGGGCTTCGATAGGAAATCGAAGTTTAATTTATGGGGACAAGAGGCCTCGTTCCTTATTTAGGGTTCCTTAGGTCAAGGCCCCTACTGTAGGAGGCCTCTAGTTTTTTCAGCACGAGTAGTTTTGGCGGTCGCAGGCGTGCTTTCGTCCAGGTCCCCGCCCTCCGCCGCCCTGCCTTCAATTTAAGAGGCACCATTGGCTACGCCGACCCGCTCTACATCCGCACTGGGCACGTCACCGAGCGGTCCGAGGTGTACTCGTTCGGCATGGTGCTGCTGGAGACGCTGACCAGGAGCCTCTCTCTCTATATAAAACATATACATACATACATACATCATTATAATTATCTCTCTCTCTCTCTCTCTCTTTCTCTTCCTCTCTCTCTCTCTCCCAATCTCAATCTCAATCTCAATCTCTCTCACTATCAATGTCCCTCCCCAGGGGGGCTGCTTCAACGGGGCGGCGAGGGCGCGGCTCGGGCAGCGAGAGGCCTGGGGGGTAGACCGATGAAAGACGCACGACGGGATGGAGATCTGTCGTCCCTGTTCTTGGCTCTCGGGGGTCCTGGGTGTTCGATCATTGACCGCTTGTTGAACGCATCCGTCCAGCTTCCGCGCCGAAGACCGCTGGAAACCGCCGGAGACTGCTGGAAATCGCTGGGCACTGCCTACCGAAGAGATCGTCAGAGTGCCCGCCGAGGACCGCCGATAAGCCGCCTGCCGAAGAGACCTCCCGAGTACCGGCGGCCGCCGACCGCGCCGCCCAGGAGCGACTGGTGACCAGGGGTCCATGGTTGAGCACGTGACACTCATCGGGCATTGGGACGGCCAGGCAGAGAGTCAGGATGAACATTTGACCGTCTTTGATTTATTGTTTTGCCGATCGGCGCGGGCCTTCGCACCCCCCCCCCAATGGAGTAGGTCTTGGCTGTTTTTTGTCGCCTGCTGCAAGCAGGTGGGATCTTCCCGACAGGACGCACGGTTTCAAACAGGCGCACTTAAGCAGAGGTCCGGAGCCCTCCCCCCCCTCCCCCCCCCTTCCGCCCAATGTCGAAACGCCGAATGAGAAAACGTCCACCATCCGGTCCATGGGATGGGGTCCATACCTCTGGGGCGCACGTGCACGCCAGATCCCAGATCCCAGATCCCAGGTACACCACCAGGGCATGGGGTCCACACCTCTCTCTGGATCCCAGATCCCACTCTACTTCTAGCGCCTTCCTATTTCAAGACTCGATATGCTTCTGCTGTGTTTGGTAGGTTCTCTGTGAGGGCCTGGGCCCAAGCTAATTACCTTACCCACCTTCTTACTCCATGTGCTAATTTTACCTACTTCTACCTACTTCTGCCGACAGGCGTATAATGACCCAATCATGACGTCGGGGGGGGTCTGGGGAACGAGAGGCCCGGGGGTGAGGTTGGGTCGGCGCCGCGCGAGGTGCATGAGATCCTCTTGCAGGGTCCTGCAGGGCCAGGGGTGCATTGCTTCGGGCTTGGGTGCAGGATCCTGCAGGATCCTGCAAGGCATGCCTGACCCGGGTCAGAAGATCCCCGAAGATCTGGCTCGAAAACAGCCGCCGAAAAACATGTCTTTTTTTCCAGCCTCTAGCCGTGATTTCCTGCGGTGTTGCAATTTGTTGGCAATGTCTGATCTCAGCCGGGAAGTCAGGTGGCGGGGAGTGCAATGCAAGAGAACGGCTCTGACATCATGGCGTCGTGAGAAACATCACGGCGGAGGATTTTTACAACTTTTCGGGTAACCCACGGGCCCTTGTAGGGCCCTGGGGCCGTCAGAAAGCGGCTCGGGAAGGGGTCCAGACCTGTTGGAGAGCCACGTTGCGACAAAGATCATGACGCAGGGAGAGGGGGGACCACCCACCAAACTGCCCCGACCCACGCTGGATGCCTCCATTTGCCCTCCGTTCTCGGTTGGGGGTCTTCGAGGAGCGTCGGCCGACACGCACCTGGAGGCGGTGCCCCCCCTCAACCCGAGATATCGGGTCCTCGGGCTAGGTCGGGGTGGTCAGGTAGGTACCGTCGACCCGCATGGTAAGGATGGGCAGCCTGCCCGAGGGTAACCGAGAACGGCCGAGAATAAACCCCCAGGGATAGTAAAGTTCGGCGGTTACGGTGTGATAATTAAAGTTGCCCACCAGAGCCAGCATAAAGATGTTAACAGAGGAGCCAAAACCGAGGATATCTTGAGACATCCTTGGCTTTTTTGTCCTCTCTGAAACATCCTGAAGGAACGTGTCGGCTTTTTAATACTCTTATAATACAGAACTGAAGCTCGGAGGTGCGCGCGCGCGCCTCTGAGCTTCACTTCTATAGTATTCACCATTAATAAATCGACATCTAATTCCAAAAACGAAATTGAAAAATTCTGGAGCCCTGTAAGGAGGCTGAAGGAACGTGCCGGTTTTTTACATTATTTTTATAAAACGGAACTGAAGCTCGGAGTTTCTATATAGAGATTCCTCATGTGCTTCGTTTTCCCAGGATAATCAACCACAGCGATAAACAAGTTCAGGGGGGCAGGGGGAGGAGAAGAAAGATAGAGAGATACATAGAAATATAGAAACAATAACAGGAGGTAGAGGAGGAAGATGATGATGATGAGGAGGAGGAGGAGGAGGAGGAGAAAGAGCAAGAGGAGGAGAGGAGAAGGAGATAGCAAACATCCAAAGTTTAAAACTTATTATATTTAATTTGGAAACGCTGAATGAAAATTTTAAAAATCATCTGCTCGTGTAGGGTAGCTCACGTGCCTCGTTTTCCCAGGATAATCAACCCCAGCGATAAACAAGTTCAGGGCGCCAGAGGGAGGAGGAGGAGAAAGAGATAGAGAGACAGAGAGAGAGAAACAGAGAAAGAAAGAAATAATGACAGAAATAACTACAAAGAGACAGAAGGACATTGGTTTCGCTTGAGACATCCTGAAAAAGCGTGTTCGCTTCGCTTGATGTTGCTATCTCAACATAAGAAGGAAGTAGCCTCGATGGCGAACTTTTTCCCGTGATAATGAAGTTCGGCCTCCGCGCCCCCGCGCCCCCGCGCCCCCGACCAAACCCTTATTGGCCGTGGATAATCAACTCTTATGTGTATGGGGGGGGTACATTATTATCGTGGGTATGGGGTTACCCTTGCATCCTTGCCTCCTCCGTCCATCCCTGGTCGCCTTCGCCAGGCCGCGCCTGTCCCGCGAGGCGTCGACGCGGTCCTGGAAGGCCCCCGCACCCCCATCCGTGCGCCCTGCCGGCGCGGGCCGGCGGCGGCCCCCCCCCCCTCAGCCCGAAGTCGGTCGGGTCTTCGGGCCAGGTCGGGGTGGTCTGGCTCGGGTATGGCCAGGACCCCGGGTAAGGGGACCCGGTGAGTGGTAGGGCCCGGGAGCCCGTGTCTCGCACTCGCCCGGGGGCACCGCTCTGCACCCGGGGCCCGTTCCTGGCGGCCCCCTCGTGCCGCCCACACGCCCTCGGGGGTGGTGCCCGCGGGTGGTGATGTCGCCGTCGCGATTGCCCGCTCCGCCGCTCCTGTGCACCCTGGGGCCACACGCCAAGAGAAGGCTGGGGAGCGCAGGCTCGGGAGGAGGCCCGCAGCAGGGTCCATTTCGATCCGACGACCCGCCGCGATGCCGACTCCCACGCACCCCGACTCTGGCCAGTCGGCCCGATCCGATTCTCTGCTGATGTCCCGCCGATCCGACCCGAACATGCTCGCGTCGTGAACAAGATCAGGACGGGGGGCTTCCGGCCGTTTTCGGCCTCTGGGGGCGCTTACTGGGCCCTGGAACTGTCAAAAAGGACTCAGGATGAAAAGCCGGTCCCGGGGGGAAGGGTCGGGACTTCTGGGGACCCCGTATTGAAAAAATCAGGACGTCGCATGTCTGGGGATGCCGCCCTATATTTGCATGGCGCTGTGACACATCCTGGCGCAGCCGATCGGATTCGATCTCGATATCGTGCCGATGCAGCTCGATCCGGTGCACACTCGGCCACGCGCAGAGAGGGGCAGGGGGAGGGGGGAAGGCTTCCTAGCAGCACCCCTGCTCCTGCTCCTTAGAAGGCGCGGGCCTTGTCTCTAGGTGTAGGGCCGGCGCCTTCTCATAAGAAGCAGCCTCCTGAGAAGCCTTCCCCCCCTCTTCCCCCTGCCCCCCTTGTGCGCGCCGCCGACACACTCGCAGGCCTAGAGATTGACACCAACACTAATATCGGCGGTGTGCATCCACCGAGGGAGGAAGATCCCGATCTCGGCGATGGTGGTCAATTCTGGCTTCCAAGGTGGCCGAAATATTGCCACCAACACCGAAATCGAGGATCGTCTCCCCCCTGTGGAGGCAACCCCTTATGTTGGTGTTGGTGCCCATTTCTAGGCCTCCAACACACACACACACACTCCGACGTGATCCGAGCCGATGCCGGCGGGTCCCGCGAGGTGGCCGCTCCGCGGTGAGGGCCAGGGCGAGAGAGAGAGAGAGAGCCAAGGTTAAGTCGGGCGTGTCCCCCTACGGGGGGATTTTCGACGAAAAATAAAAGATACCCCCAAAATAGTAAAAACATAGTTCAAAAATAGTCTGGGGACTATTTTTGGAGTATTTTCTGACCTTTTAGGGGTACTTTGGGGGTATGCTTTCTTTTTCGTGGAAAATCCCCCTGCAGGGGGACACGCCCGACTTAAAGCCAAGGCGCCCTCCGGCGCTGCAGCACGCGAACGGCCGCATCGAGTACCAGTTCAGCCACCTGGACGGCGAGCTCGCGAACGTGCGCGCGACGACCCCAGCCGACCCCCCGCGGCTCGGCTCTCGCCCTTGAGCAGTGGCGAAGCGTCCTGGTTCGCCCATGGGGCCCCCAGATAATGTTCTAGAGGCTAAGAACCTTGTGTGGCCTGCTCGAGACGTTCTGAGAATCCCAAGGGTGTTCTAAGAAGAAAAACCATGTTCTTTTAACACAAACACGATGTCTGGCTGAGACTGTCTCCCACACATCGTGTTTGTGTTAAAGGAGCATTGTCTTTGTCCTGAGAAAACCCTCTGGGATTCCGAGAACATTTCGTGGTAGGCCTATACGATTGCAGCGGCGATCAGCCCCTGCCGAACGCCCTGGTCTTCTCCGGCCCCGTCACTGGCTTGGCACCCGTCGCAGACTTCTTGGGGGTCCGAGCGCAGGGCGGGGGTCTTCGGGCGTCCTCGCAGGCCCCCTCGGCGGTGCTCCGCTGGTCCGAAGCGGCCTCCCCAGACGTCGTTCCGCCGAGAGCTGCAGCCGCGCCTCGCCGAGAGCGTTCCTGCAGCCGCGCCTCGCCGAGAGCGTTCCTGCAGCCGCGCCTCGCCGAGAGCGTTCCTGCAGCCGCGCCTCGCCCGAGAGCGCTCCGCGGGGGGGGGGGCCCGCGCGGCCCGCAGCACGGCCGCCGGCGAGCCGAGAGCCAGGGCCCGAGAGCCCGGAGCCCCGGGCCTCCGACGATGCAGCTGCTCGGCCGTGGCGCCTCTTCCCTCGACCTCCTGCTGGCCCCTCGGGAGGGGGACGGAGAAATAGGGAGGTACGGAGAAATAGGGAGGGACGGAGAAATAGGGAGGGAGGGGGGAGGGAGAAATAGGGACGGAGAAACAGGGAGGGAGAGAAACAGGGAGGGAGCTTGGCATCGCTCGGACGTGTGCATTTTTCCTTCGGCGAGGGCCCTCGAGGAGCATCCTGCATCCTGGATCCTCTGGCGAGAAAAAAAGCAACGCACGAGACCGGCGAAGACACGGGGAACGGACGGCCGGGCGATGGCGAGGGAGGGATCGGAGAAGAAGCAGAGAAGCAGAATAGAGAGAATTCGGGGATCCCAGAGACGGTCCATGGGCTCCCTCGAGGGCGCGAAGTTATTCGCGCTTCGCGCTTCGCGGTCCTCGTTCCTTCTCCTCCTCCTCCTCGTCCTCCTATTCTCCCTTTGGGAGGGCGGCGCGAGAGCGCGAAGTTATTCGCGCTTCGCGCTTCGCGCAGCGCGAAGCGCGAAGTTGGGAGCCCTAGTGCACACGGGGATCAGCCGGAGCGCCGGAGCTTGCAGGATGCTGCAGAGCCATGGGGCGAGTTGCCCCGGGCCAGCGTGCAGGAGCCTGCAGGGTCCTGCAGGGTCTGGCAGGATCCTGCAAGGCCTGGCTGGCCCGAGTCTGGGCCGACCCTGGTCAGCAGACCTGCTTGGCACGGAGACGGAACGCGCGTTTCTTTGGAGCCTTCCTGGTGTTCAAGGTTTCGGTGCGACGTACCCAAATCTAGCAACCAGCCCTGCGAGAATCAGCGCATAACTATTGCGTTTCGGGGCCTTCCTGGGGGTCCTCCTGGGGCTCTTTTTGGGCCGTCTTTGGGGCCCTGTTGGGCCGTCTTTGGGGCCCTGTTGGGCCGTCTTGGCGGGCTTGGGGGCGTTTCGAGGCCCCTTGGGGGCCCTCCTGGGTCCCCTTGGGGGACCGCCTGTGGTCGTCTTGGGGCTCTCTTGGGAACCTCTTGGGGCTCTCAAGGGCCTCTCTTGGGCCAGCTTGGGGCTCTTCTGGGCCGTGCTGGCGCCCACCTGGGCCGTCTTGGGGGCCTCTCGGGCCGTCTTGGCTAGGAGAAGCCTCTCGCTGGCCTGATGATGATGATGATGATGATGATGATGATGATGATGATGATGATGATGATGATGATGATGATGATGATGATGATGGTGATGGTGATGGTGATGGTGATGATGGTGATGGTGATGGTGATGGTGATGGTGATGGTGATGGTGATGGTGATGGTGATGGTGATGGTGATGGTGATGGTGATGAGCTGCTGACTGTAATGATGATGATGATGATGATGATGATGATGCTGATGATGATGATGATGAGGAGGATGATGAGAGGTGAGGATGATGATGGTGATGGGATGATGATGTGATGGTGATGGGATGGTGATGGTGATGGTGATGTGATGATGCTGCTGCTGCTGCTGATGATGATGATGATGCTGATAATGATGATGATGATGATGATGATGATGATTGATGATGATGAGGATGAGGATGTGATGGTGATGGTGATGATGATGGTGATGATGTGATGGTGATGGTGATGGTGATGGTGATGGTGATGATGCTGCATGCTGCTGACTGATGCTGACTGATGATGATGATGATGATGATGATGATGATGATGATGATGATGATGATGATGATGATGATGATGATGATGATGATGATGATGATGATGATGATGATGATGATGATGATGATGATGATGATGATGATGATGATGCTGATGATGATGATGATGATGATGATGATGATGATGATTTTTCGGACGGGGAGTCGGTGGGTGGAAAGCGCGAGTAACGTCAAGGCCCATCTCGACCCGCTGGAGGCGGGGATTTCAGAGAACGAACGTTGGCTCCGCGTGGGGAATGACGAGGCCGACAGGGCCGCAAAGATGGGTGCATCGATGCACCCGCAGCCGTCTGAGGCAGAAGCCCAGCAGCTGAATTTTCGAATTCGTGTGTCCCCGGCGGTCTGTGCGCTAGCGGCCCAGGTGCTCCCTTCCTGGCCGCGGGTCGACCTCCCCGAGTGTCTTTGGATAGCCCCCCCCAAGGCTCCTAAGGAACCCTAAGGGCCTAGGCACTCTTGGGCTTTCGAGATGAGTGGAGGCCGTCCTGGTTGTTGGAGATGTCAACAATGCGTGGTCTCCAGGAAAGCGTCGGGGGTGTTTCCGCAGCCTCGAGATTGTGAGAATGTCTCCAAGCTGGACGGGCCCCCGTTGCGGGCCTTGAAACATGAGACTGTTTCTTTTTTGGTTTCGGATGGCACCTTCATTACAGCCTGCTTGAAGTGCCACTCGTAAGCCACCTTTAGCTATGTTCGAGGACTGGCTAAAGAGTGTGGCCATCCCACGCCGAGGCTGACCTGGTCGGTTAATCGTTTTATCAGATCTGCAAGGGTGTCCACCCGACTCGCAAGGGCGTGTCGGTGGAGCCCGTGCCATGGCGATAGGTGGATTGGGGCGACCAGCGCTGGGGATCCTCCCGCAATGGGATATCGTCTGGTGGTGGTCCGCCTGTCCGCCCTTTGTTTGCTCCTCGCAGTTCGTGTAAAAAAAACTCTCACCCCACCACCTCCGCCGCCTCCTCCTCCTCGGCCTCCTCTTCCTCCTCCTCCTCCTCCTCCTCCTCCTCCTCCTCCTCTTCCTCCTTCTACCCTCACCCCACCTCCTCCGCCTCCTCCTCCTCTTCCTCCTCCTCCTCCTCCTCCTCGGCCTCAGCGCGAACCCCGCGGGCCGGCCCCGAGGCGATGGTGGACAAGCGCGGGGAGTGGCCCCCGCAGCTCGCCGACGAGGCCGGCGGCTAGGGCGTCGCCTTCGTCGCCGTTCGCATTTCGTCGTCGTCGTCGTCGCCGCCGCCGTCGTCGTCGTCGTTGCCTTCGGGGGAGGAGGAGGGGGAGGAGGAGGAGGAGGAGGAAAAGGAGGAGGAGGAGGAGGAAGAAGCGGAGGGGGAGGGGGACGAGGACGTGGACCAGGACGAGGACGAGGAGGCAAGTGGGATCGCTCAAACGATCGAGCGCGCAACGCCATTAGAACGGCCGCCATTCTACGCAGGGTCTACTTCGATCGGTTTGATCCGATTATGTATCGGTTCCGACCAGCCCGATCCGATTCGATTTCGTTATTCCGACGATTCGATGCGGCCCTAATTATGCTCGCATGGCGTTGTTGTGCAGCCTGGCGCAGCCGATTCGATTCGATTCCGACTCCGTGCTGATGCCGCCCGATCCCATGCATATTTCGATTCGATCCGATTTGCCGATTCTCTGCTGACTTATCCTGCCGACGTCATCCTTTGCTCGCCGCCGTTTCCCCCCGACGCGCTTTCGGTAGCAAATCATGGGAGCCTTGCGTACCCTCGCAATTCTGTCTTTGGAGTGCACTAGCGTCGATTAGCATCGGCTATCGCCGATTCGCAAGAGCCAGCACGATGGTATGGGAGGCTCCCATGGTCGGTGGCGAGCCTGGGGGGAAACGAGAAGGGGCGGGCCTTCTCAGAAGGCCTTAGGCCATCTGAGAAGTTTTCCACGTCTTCGGGGAAGGCTTAGAAAACTTCTCAGTAGGCCTAAGGCCTTCTGAGTAGTGCCGCCGCCTTCTGAAAAAGGCCTTCTCCTTCTCACTTTCCCCCCTCGCCCGCCGCCGATGTGAGTTGCCACCGATCGAAGGCGCTCGCCTCCGCCCTCCTCGGAGCGCTCTCCGGCCAGCGCCACCCCCCACCGCCGCGGCGCGGCCGGGCAAGGTAGGCAGCCTGGCGCTGCGCTGCACCCACAAGCAGGAGGCGCGCGCGCTCGCTGCCTGCCTCTGCCGGCGCACGGCCTCTCGTCTCAAGACGCCACGGCCCGCCCTTCGGCACGTACGGAATGGTTTCGGAGAGAACTTGCACACTGCCCAACAGCAGTTCCTGTTCATTTTGAAGCGGGTTCGCTGTTCGCGCCGCCGCGGACGTCGTTCATGTGAGGCAGAAGGCCGCCTGCCCAACAGCGGCCGCTGTCGGCTTGGGACAACCTTTGTTGTTGGGCGTCGTACCCTTCTTTTCCGCACCCGTTGCGGTCGTCCGAAGCCCTGCCCGCCCGTCGTCGGGGGCGTGCAGGAGGGGGGTGATGCCTACCCGGGCCTTCAGAGTGCAAACACATGACCTTCCAGGCCTATTTCGGGAGGGGAAAAAACACAGACACAATTAATCGTCGATTCCCCAGAACATCTGGGAAAATATGGGAAGTGGGGGCGAAGACAAAAATCCAGAAAATATGTGAAAATATGGGGAATCCTGTTAATTGTGTGTATTTTTTTGTGTGTCCCAGGGCCCCTTGACTATTGACCTCGACCTCGACCGCTCAAAACCTCGACAGGAGCTCAGATGTCGAGGTCCTGGCTCTGTTTGGTAGCCCCCCTGAAGGTCAGGGTAGGAGGGATATCGTGTCCAGGGCCAGTACAGTCAAAAACCCTGATAAGGACGCGCGACTTTGCTCAGGGTACCCTTGCGTCCTTGCTCTTCCTTGCTCTTGCGTCCTTGAGGTTTTCGTCGTCCGCCGCCCAAAAAATTCCAACTTCGGCTTGCAAGGGTCTTGCGTCCTTAACGCGCGTCCATGTCAGGGTTTTTGACTGTATCTCCCGTGATGTCATGGCCTCTCTTCTTCCGGTAGGTCCATGCTGCGTCGGCGAGCCGACCTGCCGGCGAAGGCGGTCAAAAAGCTGATTTCTGCGACGCGGAAGCGCCGAGGGACTCGGCGACGCCACCGGACCGGGCAGAGTTAAACCTCGAACAATCGGGGCCGCGATCTTTAAGCTCGCTGAGGGGCAGCGAACGCGGGCGACGGAGGAGGAGGCAATGCTCGTAGGGTAAGAGCAAACCTAAGCAGCCCAATCGTTGGTAAGAGCAAACCTGAGGTCCGAACTTGTCGCGAATGGGTGTCGTAAGAATTGTGATTGACGGATCAAGCGCGCTGGCTGAGCGTATTGGGATCTGGCCCTGGAAACAGCGCTGCCCCCCAAGCGACCTCCAACCGCGATCATCGATTCCAGGCTGAGCGCTCGACGCGGTGTCGAAAAGACTCCTGCGCGCGCCGACGCCGCGTGAGCCTGCCGTACTTGAGCTTCAATGGGGTCCCTGGGCTCCCCCCGGGGCCGCGCACGTGCCTCGGGGCACGCTCTGCGACCTTTTCCCCTCTCGGACGACCCGGCCCTCTTCGGGAGGAAAAGAAACACACAGACACCATGAACCCTCGATTCCCCAGAAAATGTGGGAAAAAACATGGGAAGTGGGGGGGGGGGGGAAGACCAGAATACAGACACTATGTTGGAAAACATGGGGAGATCTTTTTTATTCGTGGGCTAGTCTTCGTGTGTCCTGGGGCCCCTTCGCCTCTCTCCGACGCCCCTGGCGTCGGGGCCCGCCCGCCCCGCCCCGCCCGCCGGGGCCCGCCCGCCCCGGACGGCCCACGACGCCTCGAGAGGCTCCGGGCCGCTCCCGGCCTCCTCCTCCCTCCTCACACCCCACCTCCCCCCCCTCCCCCTCCTCCTCCTCCTCCTCCTCCTCCTCCTCCTATCCTACTCCTCCTCCTCCTCCTCCTCCTCCTCCCTCCCCTCACCGTCCCCCTCCCCCTCCTCCTCCTGCCTCCCCCTCAATGCCGCTTAAATTGCCGTCCTCCTCCTCCTCCTCCTCCTCCTCCTCCTCCTCCTCCTCCTCCTCCTCCTCCTCCTCCTCCCCCTCCTCCTCCTTCGGGGCCCTCGCCGGGCCCCCCGGGCCCGCCGGAGCCCTCGCCCCGACCTGCCGCGGAGAGGGCTGCAAAAGCGTGGCCCTCCGGGCCTGCAGGCCTGCCCGGACTGCCCCCAGCGCCTCGACGGGAGTCTGGGGTCCCGGCGCTGCTTTTTTCATCGGGGGTCCCAGACCCCCTCGAGTAATGAAAAAATCATGACGGGAGGTTTTTCCTAATTTTCGGCCTCGGGGGGCCCTCACCGGGCCTCGGGAGTGTCAAAAAACGACTCAGGATGCAAAGCCGGTCATGGAGAAAGGGTCGGGACCTACGGGGGTCGACGTAATGAAAAAATCATTACGTCGGGGGTCTGGGGTGGACAGACCTCCTACCCTGACACGTCGATCAGTGAATTGTCCGTTTTCGGTTCTCGAGAGGGCGCCGCGGCCGCTGATTTCCAGGCTTGCGCCCGCCAGGTTTGGGCCCGAGGTCGTTTTCACGAAACCACGTTTTACTGAAGGGAGGTCTGTCCATCCTCGATTTTAGCCTTCCTGGAAGGTCGGGGCAACTGCTGAGAGGCCCGAGGCGTCGGAGGTCTGCGGCCGAC